CAAATACACAAAATAATGTTATTTTTAGCAACATCATATGACCCCTTTAAGATTTTATTAATATTTAAAATATTATTATTAAGGGAATATTATTAATAATAATGTATTATAATATATTAATAAGGGAAATTAATGGAAACATTAATTGTTAGCACAAAATTGACAATCATGAAAGGGGACCATCTTGCCTCGCTCCCTTGGGCTGTTTTTTAATGTGTTTGTTTGTTTGTTTTTGAAAAAATAAAAATGCTAAATTAAATATTCTATGTACATTTATGCATTTTGAGTGACAAAAAGTAGTGAATAATGACCTACAAATCAGATAAAAGAATACCTGTTGAAGAGATTTGAATTACACTAGAATTCAGATAGAATTATTCAGTTTAATTAACCTATATATTATGATGAATAATGAAGATATTTTAAATGCACATCTAATTTATGATATTATTAAATATTAAGTTCATGAATAATAATTATTAAATTAAAAAATAAAATTATTGTAGAAGCAGCAACATGCCACTGGGGACCCCCTCTGCCCCATTTCTGAGGGGGGCATCTCACTTTAACTTTTCACTTCAAAGTAAAAATGAAAATTAATATTTGTTATGAAATCATAATAATGATTTTGTGTGTCCACAAATCTCCCATTAACAAAAAGACATAGAAACTTAAATTCACAGGTCACTATAATCCAGTGACAAAAGTGAAATACGTTAACCCCAAAACTGTTCAAATGGAATAAATCTCACAAATTGTAATGTTCAGATGAAAAGTCAAGCATAACCATCCACTAAATGTGTTGAAAAATAATTGTCTGTTCCTTTATCCATTATTTATCCAACAGTGATACAAAAATCCCATTAATCGCATGTCAACAGCTATAACTTGAAACAAAGTGTCCTGGGTCAAATATTCATGAATATTAAATGATTTTTTAAATGTGAACTAATGTTATCCTCGTGGACCAGGTTGCAGTTGGCTGGTATTGTTGCATTATATGTCATGCAGAGTTCCTTTCATGTTTCCATATCAGCTTGAATCTTGTGAACGGCCAACTGTGTAAATTCAGGACAAGGAAGAAACACAGGGAAAAAGCAATAGCCAAATGATGAAAGGGCATTTATGAATTATTTAGCACAGAGCTGTATATGATGGCATTAGAATGAACAGACGGTGTAAAATTTTCAACACATTGTGAAGCAAAAAAAAAAGCTTAATAGGGCAGCATTTACAGTAGAAGATGAATAAATATACCTTGTAATAAATTACATTTAGTATGAATTTACAAAGACATGAAGGCAGAAATCTCTAAAACACACATGCCTCTGTTCTGTTTCACAGTGGGGAATCTACAGCATAACTTCATCCATACAACAGGCTCCAGTCCCAAACATACAGCCACCATTGGTAGGTAAAACCCAAAGTTCTACAGTTGTTTATTCTATAGAGTTTGAAATAACCTCAACGTCCATCATTGTGTGTTTAAAGAGCGTGCACCACGTATGAACAACATGCAGCTGGCCACTGGTGGCACATTGAAGCCCAGTAAACATACTAATGCCATGAAGCCCCAGCCGTCCTTCCATCACTCTCTACATAACCTGGCTCAGCTGCCGCCCTCGTATGAAGCCGCCGTGAAGCCTGAGATCAACAGATACTCATCTCTCAAGCGTCTGGGTGAGTGCTTTATTACCAGTGGAGAGGAAGATTCTAATCTTAAGGAACTTATGTTTTGTAGGAATTACATAAAAGGTTGGCATGATTGCTTTCTTATTATAGACCACATCATTTCAAAGGCATAAAGCAAATTTATAAGCAACAAGGAGAAAAAGATGGACGGATATCAAAAACAGTGTGATATTTAGTACTGTTGTGTTTTGAAGGAGAAATTACCTGCTTGGTGATGAGGACATGAGTCTCATGCGGAGCTCAGAGCGTTGCGTAAAAATATCTGTTCGCTTGGGTTTTTATTTAAAGCAGTGTTAGTGTTTCACTGGAACACTTGGGAGATATAAATGTGTGTGAAGGTCATTTTAATGAGGGCAAACCAGTGCAAAGAACTCACAATCTTGTACAGACGTATACAGCCTTAAAGCCTCTCTCTCAGCTAGACATCAAACCTCCTGGGAAGTGTGAGTTACAGTTAGAGGACAAGAAAGTTCTGCACAGGCGAAGGTTATACAGGCTGATACAATGACTCAGACTTAATCAGCCAAAAGATGAAATGGCTTAGGTTTGAGGATAAAACAGGATTGGATAGTATTAATATTGATATATTAATGAAATACATTTTTTAGACATTAACAAAATCAAGCATTATATTAATGAAATCAAGCATTAAACACATAGTTCTAGGTTGGAGGTTGAAGAATTTATTTTTAAGCGTTAAGTAGATTGTGATGGAAGTCTGAATGAATTTCTAGCTTGTAGCTCAAAGCTTGGAAACATTTTTAGTTTATTAGGGATGCACAGTATATTGGTACCGTATTGGTTATGACCAATACAGATTGTTAATCTGTATTGGTAATATACTAATTTTCCATCTAGATAATGCGTGCAATAATTACATGTAATTATAAGTAAATCCCAAAATAGTCATTTTCATACTGTACATTATAATGTTGTGATGTCTAAATTCACTTTAAAATTATTGCTTTTTAGTTTTTAGTGTATTATTGTTAATTTATTTAGACCAGATTGTATCAAGTTGTAATTTCGGCAATTCATTTTTATTCATTGGCCATAAATAAATAGATAGATATCTTCTAGATTTTCTAGACAAGAAAACAAAGAAACAAAGTCTTATTGGTATTGAACAGAATTTGGATTTGGTTATTTGTTGGTTGTTAACCATACCGTGAAAAATTTATTATCTTTTATACATTGATTGTATTTTTCTAAAAAAAAAATGTCAATAAAAATATTAAAACTTTCATATTGGGCAAATTTTTTATATCTGTGCATCCCTAATTGGTTTATTCTTCTCGCCCAATTTTCTGATCTTTTCAAACATATTTTACTCCACCTACAGAGAAAGGAGGATTGGAGGAATATTCAGGTTACTGTACCACCAAACGGAGGCCCAACAATGCCCCTCCCTCCTTTCATTCCTCCCAGCATCACCTTCCCTGGGGTGGCGACTACACGCTGGGAGGAAGAGGCACGCTTCCCAATCGTGCTACTCGTCCTCGAATACCTCATCCACAGTCTGCCCCAAGCCACACCCCGAATCCTTATCCTCTGGATCCACCGGAGTCGAAGCAAAACCACAACTACGATACGCTTTCCAAACCACCACGTCGCGTCAAATCAACAGACCAGCTCCTCGCCCTCTGTGATGGCAACACCTTATCAAGGATGTCGAAGAACCAGCAGCACCAATACTACAAAGCCATGGCCACTTCATCAAAGAATTCCAATACGAACACCTTGAAGAAGTCCAAGGAGAGGCAGCTGATGTCCCCAGACCATCTAGAAGAGGAGGTAGGCGGGGTTGAGTACGACGGAAGCAGGATGGGTATGGGAATGGGCGACTACACAGCCGGAGGGGGAGGTGGAATGGTACCCACCCTGCCCCGTGTTAGCCACCAGAAAGCTCAATCACAGCAGAATGTTTGCGCCACACCGTCACTCGACCGCCACCACATGATCAAGATGAACTCACACCCGACCTCGGGGCGAGAGCAGGAGCGGAATTCAGCGGCGATGTCAGGTCACCTGGGAGGAGGCGGGGTCGGAGGAGTGGGATGGGGCGACATGCCAGGAACAGGAGTTGTCATGGGAACAGGAACTCTTGGTGGACACAGTGCCAGGAGGCTAGCATTTGCAGCTAAAAGGCAAAATACCATTGAACAACTTCACTTCATCCCTGGTGGAGGGGGAAGTGGAGGAGGAGTGGCATCGACCCAAGGGGTTAGAACAGGAAGCAAGAATGAGGTTACTGTGTGAGCAAGAGGCTGGAAAGGGTAAAGAGGGAATGGAAAAGATGGGTGAGTGATAGACTGTGTGAAGAGTTGGAGGATGGTAGAGGGACTGTGGGAGAGAGAGAGTGGGCGGAAGAGGGAGAGAAATACCGAGAGAAGAGAGAAAAGGAGTAGGAGGATGGTAAAGGAATAAGAGAAACAGATTTTGAAGTAGGGGGCCACGAAGTGGGAGAAAGTAGGCAGACAGCGAAGTGGCACCATATTTTTACAGATATATGTTGTATATAGTGGCAAATTCACAAGATAAGATTAGATAAGAGATTTAAGTCAGGTTTGATAGAGCTTCAGAGTTGTCGTGCTTTTTATGTTCATGAAATTGCCGCTATAATTATGATCAAAGCTGCCATATACAACTATTTATTTGCATAAAGTTTGCCTATAAACATACTGCATAGAAGATCAATAGAGTGTAATATAAATTCCACATGATGTGACAGATGAGACATTTTTCATATCTTTGTCATGTTTTTATCCTCAGATATTTTACATTGTTAAACATTACAGATATAGCTGCTATGGAGAAATATATTTCAGAGAACGGCTTTCATCTTATAACTATGATGGAACTACTGGGAGACTAATATAATAATTAACGTCTGCATTAAAAGGAACCAGTTGAATATGAGTTGAGCGCTTATCCCAACTGATGAATTGTAAAGCTACTTAAAGATGGACTAACGTAATGTTGGATCTCTTTTTTTAAAACCCTAATCTACTTCAACATAATGAGGAAGTGTGTCAGGGTTTTCACAATGTCAAAATGAATGAAGATGGAACAATTTGAGGAGCATATCCATAAACTTTTAAGAATCTGATGAACTCATTTTGAATACTGCGAGACAGAGAAAGCAAGCCTTACCATTGTTTCACCCGCATCTTACACTGAATAAGATGTGAGTGATAAGTGAGTGTCTGTTCAATTTTTTTTGGGGGGGGGGGGGA